CGGAAGCGAAAAGGCGAGAAGACCGAACACAATATTTGTCCAATTGTTTATCATGAATTTTCGAGCCTCCGGGCCCTCGAGGGCCAGTCTGTGCCCCTTTCGGGGCTCGTCTGGGGACTCATTTGGAGCCTTCCTGGGCTTATCTTGATGCCTCAAGAGCCAATCGGAAGCGACAAGGCGAGAAGACCAAAAACATTGATTTTGCAATGGGATATCACGGAATTTCAATTATTGGGGCACTCTTCGGCCAGCCTTGGGGCTCTGTGTGACTTCGGCTAACGCTTCTTTGAGGCCATCCTGGGGTCATCTTGACGCCTCCCGAGCCAATCGGAAAGGAAAAGCGAGAAGGCCGAACACATTGCTTTTCCAATGGGTTTTCTCAGATTTCCGATTGTCGGGGCCCTGTTGAGCCAGCCTTAGGCCCCTTTGGGCCTCGTTTGGGGACTCATTCGGAGCCGTCCTGGGGCTTATCTTGACGCAAGAGCCGATCGTAAGCGAACAGGCGAGAAGGCCAAAAACATGGATTTTCCAATTGGTGTGCATGGAATTTCAATTATTGGGGCCTCTTTGGGCCAGCATCAGGGCCTTTCGGGGCTCGAGGCCAGCAGCCCAGCAGCGCGCATGCCGAAAATAGCATGTTCTGCAGAAGGTGGAGGAAGAGGAGGAGGAGGAGGAGGAGGAGGAGGAGGAGGAGGAAAAGGAGGAGGACGAGGAGGAGGAGGAGGAGGTAGATGAGAAGGAGGAGGAGGAGGAGGAAGAGGAGGAGGAGGAGGAGGAAGAAGAGGAGGAGGAGAAGGGGGAGGAGGTGGAGGCAGAGGGGGAGAGAGGAGAAAGAGGAAGAGGATGAGAAGGAGAAAGAGGAGGAGGAAAAGGGGGAGGAGAAAGAGGAGGAAGAGGAGGATTCCCTGCTTTATGCTAGCCCATCCACTCGCCTGAGACATATTCGCGCCTCTGGGCTCCGAAACGCTCTGAGATGGCCTCACCTGGTGTTGTCCGGTCGCTCCCGCTCAGGAACTCCTCACCCATTCCGGCTTGGCGGTGGCCCGCTTCATGTCCACGCGCACGCACTCCGCCTGCATTCGAAACTACAAGGAACAAGGTTCATGGCGCAAAGCGCCAATGCAGTCTTGTAGGTGTATATATGTATCTATTATATATATATATATGTATATATATATATATATATTATATTATATATATATATGTACGTATATGTATATATATGTATATGTATGCACAGATGTGTGTATGTATGCATGCATGCATGCATGTATGTATGTATGTATGCATGTATGTAGGTAGGTAGGTAGGTAGGTGGGTCGGTCGGTAGGTAGGTAGGTAGGCAGGTAGGTGGGTAGGTAGGTAGGTAGGTAAGGCAGTGTGTATGCATGCATGCATGCTGCATGCATGCATGTATGCATGCATGTATGCATGCATGCATGCATGCATGCATGCATGCATGTATGTGTGTGTTGTATTTATGTGTGTATAGATATATATATATATATATATTATTATATATATATATATTATACACATGGGCCGGGCGCTTTCCCGGGGCGTCTTCCACCTCGCTCACATCTGGTGTACGCTCGCGGTGCCGCGCTTCCTGGCCTCCCGGGGAGCCCCCAGATACCCAACAACAGCCCAAGACGACCCCAAGAAACCACCAGGACGTCAAAGAAAGGCCCAACACGCTCCCAAGCAACCCAGGATAGCTTTCGGGAGGCTCTCCAGGCTCCCAGGAGGCCTCCAAGAGACCTCAAGAGAGCTCCGAGAGGCCTCCCGAGAGCGCCCGGAAACTTCAAATCGTGAATTGTCATTGTTTTGTTTTCAAGGTTTTTGGCCTTCTCAGTATTTCATGCGTCCAACGCTCCAAGACGGCCCAAGAGGCCCCCACGACCGCCCAAGAGGCCCCCAAGACGGCCCCAAGACGGGCCAAGATGGCCCCAAGACTGCCGAAGAGGCGCCCTGGACAGCTCCAGACCACCCCAGATAGGGCCCAAGATGAGCCCAAGAGCGGGAGCAGGAGGCCTCCAGAGACGTCCGAGAGGACTCCAGGACCCCCCAGAGGCCTCCAACACCCCAGACCCCTGAGAGGCCCCCCAAAAGAGCGCCGACGAGGCCCCCAAAACAGCCCCAAGAGAGCTTCGAAAGCCGTCCCGACAGAGCCAGAAGAGGGTCAGATCGTTGCTTTCCAGTCGTTATTGTCGACAGTTTTCGCCTTCTCACGTTTTCCCGCTTCCAACGCCCCAAGACCGAGGAACTTGACAACAACATAAGGGAGTTCCAGAGACTACGTTTTAAACATTTGGAACTCCTACTCCCTATCCTCTTCCTCGAGCCCCATCAAGACTTCGGGGTCACATGCTAAAATGCTTCGGGAATGCTGTTGAACTCTCTGACGCTGTCTTGGCACTCTCTTAGATCGTCTTCGTGTCCTCTTGGCTGCCCTTGAAACCATTGTAGAAATCGAGATCCCATGATCCAATGAGTTGAAGCAGTGGAATTTTATAATTCCTTATTTTCAAACTCAACCCCTTTTTATTTCTGCCCGAAGACACCGAGAGGCATCCCAACAGACCGTGGCCTGCATGCAGAAAACGTCTAACCCACAGCCCAGGCACTACAACTTGGAAAAAAGGAGATCCCACCATTCCGTTTTTTCCAAGTTCGCCCTCTGTCTACAATTGCACAACTGACCACAATTAAGGCCCCATAAAAGAACCCGGGAAGCCTTCGAGGGCCCCAAATCGTTGAATACCAAACGGCAATTCATGATTTGTGCGTTTCCGCCGTTTTTTTTCTATGCGATTCCGAGGCTTGCGCAGGGCCTCCAAGAGAGTCCCTGGATGCAAGAAACGACAAGCATGATATTGCATGTGTTCACCCATCAAGCCTAGCTAGAACTTGAGCGCGTGCGAAGCGCGCGCGGTGGTTCTAGTATGTCTGTATATAGAGAGAGACCTATCTGTATATGTATTTATGCCGAAGTAGATCCAGATATTCCACGTAAATCTGGAGCACTCGTGGAAGCTCCAGCGCGAGTCGAGGGACAGCAGAAGTCGTTCAGCCTTGAACGACCTTGACCCGAACAGGAGCCTCCAGAGCTCCAAACTCTGAACAGCCAGACCCGTGTTTCTGTGCGCGACGCCTGGAGTTCTGCTCCGGCCCATCAGTTTGCTGTCGATCTTCCTCCTCCTCCTCCTCCTGCTCCTCCGTCTCCTCCTGCTCCTCCTCCTCCTCCTCCTCCTCCTCCTCCTCCTCCTCCTCCTCCTCCTCTCTCGAACTCAATCGCCAGACCCTCCCAGACACCCCGGCCAGGTTTGCGAGCTGTGTCCAGCCAGGCCCACGAGGGGCCTCCGGGAGGCTCAACAAAGAAGGGCTCCAAAAAGCGTCCAAGCCATCGATCCTCGACCTTTGACTTTCTCTCTCGCGACCTGCTCGGCCCTCGATCCTCGATCCTCGACCCTCGACTTTCTCTCGCGATTCCTGGATGTCTCGGTCCCCAGTGGTCTCTGGAGGTCCCCAGAGCTTCCTGGGATGTCTCCAGGGGTCGGGGGCCCTGGAGGGTTCCGGAGGCTTGATGCAGAGGAAGAGCATCCGAACACCTCGACCTCCTCGAACCCCTCGGATCCCATCGGTCCTCTCGGTCTTCTTGAGTTCGACCCCCTCGACCCTCTCGACCCCACCGAAGTCCTCGAACCCTTCGAGAACGCCTCGGTCCCCTCGAGCCTCGAGCCTCGACCCCGTCGAAGCTCTCGAGCCCCTCGAACCCCCTCGGTCCTCTCGAGCCTCGGGGCTGGAGCCTCGAGCCTCGACCCGCGTCGAAGTCCTGGGTCCCCTCGGCCCCCTCTGTGGAAGAGGAGGAGGAGGAGAAGGAGGAGGAGGAGGAGGAGGAGGAGGAGGAGGAGGAGGAGGAGGAGGCGGAGGAGGAGGAGGAGGAGGAGGAGGAGGCTCGAGCTTCGTGCCCCGAGCCTGGAGCCTCGGCCCCCCTCGAAGTCCTCGAGCCCCTCGAGCCCTTCCGGCCCCCTCGGGCCTCGAGCCTCGACGCCCTCGAAGTGCTCGAACCCCCGTCGGACCCCCCCCGTCCCCCCGTCGAACCCCCGTCGGACCCCCCCCGTCGGACCCCCCCCGTCGAACCCCCGTCGGACCTCGAGCCTCGGGCCTCGACCCCCTTGGATTCCTTGATCCCGCGAACCCCGCGGTCCCCTCGATCTTCGGGCCTCGGGCCTCGAGCCTCGTCCTCGAACCCCATCGGTCCCCTCGGTCCCCTTGAGCCCCGAGCCTCGTTTCCCTTGAAATCCTCGAACCCCTCGAACCGCTCGAGCCTAGAGTCTCGACCCCCTCGAAAACTTCGACCCCCTCGTTCCCCTCGGGCCCCTCGAACCTCGAGCCTCGACCTCCTCGAACCCCTCGAACCCCTCGAACCTTTCGGTCTTCTCGATCCTCAAGCCTGGAACCTCCAAGGAACCTCGAAGAAACCTCGAAGAAACTTCTAAACTGTTTGAGAAGTGTTTGTAATTGGCACCAGTTTGTTTGGATCAGGACCGAACTGGTTGGAATCCATCCTAGTTGGCCGTCATTTCTCAAATTGTTGGGCTTCACCCCCCTCCAATGTGGCGCTCGCGCACAAACTATTGGCGATCGCAGCGCGTCCCCGCCCAGACGTGCCCATCCCGCCTGGGCGTTGCCGTTCCCCGCCCCCCCCTCCCCGATTACGACCGCTCGTCACTGGAGATCAGGACGCGAAGTCATCTCCATCTCACAGAAACCTCCTGAGGTCGAAGACGCAACGCCATAAACATAAGCTTTTGGCGCTCCGCGCGGATTTCTTGGATCCGCGCTGCCCCCCCCCCCCCCCCGCCGCAGCGCTTCCGGCGGACCTGGCGCGGGAGTGGGATCCAGGCAGACAAGATCCAAGAAATCCGCGCGGAGCGCAAAAAGTGTATGCTTATGGCTTTTTGCTTTCTTCTATGAGACCTCCTGGTGGGGCGAAGGGTCCATCAGCTACGCCAACTTCTGCCACTGCTACCGTCGCGAGCTCGCGAGGCGGCGCGGGGCGGGCCTCTCTCTGGCCCCGTTGCTGCCCGGCCCGGCTCCGAGCTGCCCGCAGGCTGGAGGGTTTCTCCGAAGGGCTTGAGGGACCCGTCCTCCTCCTCCTCCTCCTCCTCCTCCTCCTCCTCCTCCTCCTCCTCCTCCTCCTCTCTCTTCCTCCTCCTCCTCCTCCTTCGCCTCCTCCTCCTCTCCTCCTCTTCCTCCTCCTCCTCCACCTCCTCCTCCTCCTCTCTCCACCTCCTCCTCGGGTCGCCTACGGCCCCGGGGGAAACCGTGCACCGCAGGCCTGGCGTCGTGCAGGCTGGGGGGTCCTCGGCTGGTGTCCTCGGCGGAGGTCGGCTGGGGAGGGCCCAGCGGTGGCGAAGCGTCTTGTCCTGCCCATAGGCCCACCAAAGAACGTTCTAGGTGAATCCTGTGGTCTGTACGAGATGTTCTCAGAGCATACCTTGCTGAGGCAGTCTTGTCTTGATTCATGGCTGCTATGTTCTACGATCCAGGCTCTTGCTACGAGAACAGTCATATTTTGTCCTAGGAGCATGTCGTGGTAGGTCGGTCCCTGCTCAAGAGGTCGCTCAGGTGAGGCTCCGTCGCAGGCCAGCGTGCCACAGGCCAGCGGAGCGAGCGAAGCTTCTCGGCGGAGGTCGGCAGTCGCGAGGGTTCTCGGCGGGGTCCGCGGCGGAGGGCGGTCGGCGGAGGTCGGCGTGACCTCCAAAGTTCTGGAAAGGCATAGAACATGTGCCCCACGCTCCCGTCCCTTCTTCCTCTCGGCCGTCCCCCCTTCCCTCTTTGCTCGCCGGCCAATTTGCTGGTTAGTGCCCCTATCTAGCTTCTCGCTGGAGCGGAGTTCGCCGCCTCGACGCTGACGAAAAAATGCGCCCCACGCTCCAAGAATCAGTGCTCGCACCCTGCGCCAAGGGGTCCGTGGTCGGGCCGGGCTGTCCCAGGTCTTCGCCCGATGCCCGCCCGTGTGCACCGAGCCCCTGCCGCTGGCTGGGTGTTTTCCATGCTTTCGCCTGGAACCCGCCCGTGGGCGCCTCGTAGGCCCTCCCTCGGGGGCGGCAGAGAGGGGGGTGAGGACTAGGGGGGGGGGTGATATCATGGCGTGGGCCAGGATATTTCCCCAGATTTCATGGCGCCTCTTCTTATTTCATGACGTCCCTGGCCCCCCCCCCTGGGCCGTGCACATGCCGCCGGCCATGATTTGCACCCCCCCTCTTGGACGCCCCCCTCGTGGCCGCGCCCGACTCCCACATCTGCCTGGGCGCTGGCTGGGATTTCAGGGTTTTCGGCCAGTCAGCATTCGTGTGCGTTTTATGGGCGGGCGGGGGAGATTGTCCCAGTTTCCGTTTGGCGTTTCTGGATGCACACATAGAAAGCACCGCGCATATTGTACCACATAGCTCTTGCATTACATCGACTGCACGATGGCCTCACGTACGTTGCACTACGGCCATTGCATCGCATAGGCTGCACCATGAATATTGCAGCATATGGGCTGCACCATACAACATAGACAATGGATGTTGATGTTGCTGCTATTGCTGATGATGCTGCTGCTGATGATGATGATGATGATGATGATG